CCCAGCCCAGCCCCTGGCTTCTTTACTTTTCATTCCATCCAGGAAGAGCGCACACCAACTGCTGCAGCTTCCTTAGCCTGACGAAGGGTTTTTGAACCCGAAAGCTTGCTTAATAACTATTCTCCAACCATTTGGGTTGGTCTAATAAAAGATATCAAATTCACCCAAGGAACCTTGTCTGCCTATACCCTCTCCTAGACACTTTTTGTCTAAAGATCCTGACCATAGTATAAGTCAATGGAGGGATGTATAGAGATTGGAGCTCTCTAGATTTATATTAAATTGCTAGAGAATAGAGAGAACTCTTCACCCTTGCCTCATGCCCCCTCTCTCCAACAGTGTAGTAGTTCAAATGTCATTTTTTTCTTGGGTAGCCTTGGGAATTCCCACCCTAGTACCTATTGTAGCAGATGACACCACCTGCCCCCAGAGTAGCTTCTAGATCTGCAGTCCCCCTCATTACGATACCTAGAGTGGAGTGGTCATGTCTGGGGAGCTCAGCTTGCCTCCAACTTGCCTGGATCAAGGTGAGAAATTTCTTGGTAATCTTCTGGAAGTTGTGGCGGCTGATGATGGCATGACCAGGCCCACGACCCAGGTTACAGGTGCTGTATGCCCTTAGCTCAGCTGTGGTTCCATCAGGACACAAGAGCTCATATTCCTCTTGATCTGACTCTAAAATAACATGACACCCTCTGAGACTGAAGTGAAGGGTATTGACGCAGCATATTTTCAGAGAAGCCTGCTCAGAGTCTCAGTTCCTGGCAGGGCAGTGAATGCCAAGTGGAATAGGTTTCTGTCTGATGTGCTGCTCCCTTTTACCAAGGAAAGGGATGTTAGTGCAGAAGGGCCTGGGCTGGAGAAGTTCTTCAGTATGTTCTGAGAAACACTCATTCAAAGACACAGGCTTAAAGAGAACTGTGCAGAAACACTGATTCTGTATTGCAAAGTTTTGGTTGGGTAAAACCCCTGGTACATGGGACCTCTTACTCTAAATCATGGGCCCTATGAAAAAGGCCTGATGATCTGTTGTCAGCCACACGGTAACCACTGGTTTATGGAGCTGAGAGCTAAGGAAATCACCTACGTGAAAGACTGGTGATTCTAAAGACAAGAGGCTCCTTTAAGCAACTTATGCAACTGTGATTTGTTTGGAGATCTGGGGAGTAAGAACTGCTTGCAGAGACTGAACTCAAACTGGAATAAAAAAAAAAATATCAGGCATCACCCCCAAGCTTCCATGCAGGAAGAAGTGCTAGCTGCAGGGAAACACAAATCAGAGGGTTTACCTGTGGCATTCATTATCTCCAAGTGATCTAGGAAAGCAACGTCTGCAGCCCCACTCTTCAAACACCTGCAACAAGATTAACACCAAGCCATAAACACTTTAGGGTGTTATACCCCTCCCATCAACCCTTCCCTCAAGTCTACTGCAAGGATGTGAGGGTCACCTGAAGGCTCCTTCAGAGTCATAGAAGGGCTCATTACCACTGGTCTCACAGAAGTGGTTCTTGTCCCTGACGTAGGATTTCTGGCCTTGGCAAAGAGCACAGAGCTGAGGGGAGGTAACTCCAATGCCTGGGATGCAGCTGGCATTGAAATACCCACTGATCACTGGGAACATAAGAAAAATGTTCAGACAGAAAACGCAGGAAAAGATACTGTAACAGGGACGAATCTGAATGCAGGCATAGTCAATGCCCTAGCTACTTGTTAAAACCTATTAATCTTCAGCAGAATGTCCTTGGCTGTAGAAATTTGAGATTTGAAAATGCTCCCGGTCAGCTATTCTCCAATACTTGTTGATGCTGCTGTAGCAAAATGCTGCCCTCCTTGTTTCACACAGAACAGAAATTTCCTGTTGCTCTTGCTAACAGTTGCTTTCTTCAAAGAGATCATAAAAGGCTCTGGCAGGACAGTGAAACAGCAAGTGGCTAAGCTGTGGGTGCAGAACCCAAAGCTTCTGCTCTCTCATGTGTACCATATAGCTCTGTAGGTGTTGCACCTACTACCATTTTGTTCATCTTTATCAATGCAGAAACTTGGCCCTGGGATACCTGTCAATGTTCATTCACCCACCTTGGCTCAAAGGCTGCTCCTTATCCCAGAAGAGGTCATTCCTAGCCAGGAGGAAGCCTAGTAGGATATTCCAGCCTGATGTCCACCTGGCTCCATTGTGGCAGCTTTGCACTCCTCTGAGCTTCTGAATGTCCAAATTTCCTTTTCTGGCAATGGCCACAGCAAACACACAGCTTCCTAATGGTGAGAAAGGGAAAATGCAGGAAGAACAATAATTTGTAATAAAGGTCTGATCACAGCCACAGTGTGAGCAGTCCTTTGAGCAGAGCTAAGGAAATTCTCAAATAAAATGCCTAAAGTACTGTTAACCAGAAGAAGAGGAACACTGTATTGGTTACCCCAGTGCACAGTTTGGGCAAAATGTTACACAACCAAGGACTAGCAACATGTGAAGCAAGGAATACTGAAGTTAAAGGTTAAATGTTATAAGAATAACTGTAAAGTGGACAGATTACTTTACACACCTTGCATACAACACTCCTGTTTATTCATCCTAATAAAACATTTACTCTGTTTGCAACAGTATTACATTTTTGACTCACATTCATATTGTTATCCATTATAAGCCCAGAACCTTTTTATTTGCAGACCAACCATCTAGCTAGTTGGTCTCCATTTTGCATCTGCGTTCCCATTACTTCTACTTATGTGTAGTACTTTTCACTCGTGCTTTTTAACTAGCACCCTATATACCAACTTTTCTCGCATATAACACTCAACTTTTCCAAAAACAGCTGTTGAAAATTGGAGTGTGCATTATATATGAGAAATACAGTAAAGAGCAATTTCTGCTGCTTACAGAACAAAGGCTAAAGGAGACAGATGAAAGACATGTAAGAATCTATATCAAACAAAACACCCTCTCACTTCACTTTGTCAATATATTTTGTCTAGAGGTGCACCAATACATCAGTCCAATATCAGATCAGCACCAATATAAAGAAAATTGGCTGCACTGGAAATTGGCCTGATGTGCCCATAATGTGGCCGATAAATTCTCCGTGCATGCGCGCAGCCACAGTGCAGCACGTAGGTGGCAAGGAGCACAGACTGGCAGCATGGAGAGCTGCATTCAGCTGGTAAGTCTGTTGTGGTGGAAGGGGAGGGGGGAGGGAAGGCACATGCGGGGGCATATCAAGGCTCCCACAGTGAGGGAGGGAGTGGGGCTGGGGTTGGGGCAGACTCTGCCCAAAAGAGGCAGGGATGGAGCCGCGGCTTGTTCGAGGGGTGTGAGGAGGGTGCGGGGGCAGCTCACACTGCTGCGCACACCCTGGGAGGGCACAGGGGGCATGTGCCCCCAGATCTGCACGGGCAGGGTGGGCTGTCGCTGTGGGCTGGGGCTGTGCAGGGCTCTTTCTGTCAGGGGTTGGTCTAGGCCTGGCTTGTCCAACATATGGACCGCAGGCCGCCATGCTGTTTTCTGAGGCCCGAGGTGCTGTGATGGGAAACAAAAGTAAACACTGTTTACTTTCGTTCCCACCCCTTGTCCCTCCCCCAGCCCCTCAGCAGCTTCCTAATGGCTGCTGAAGGGCTAGGGAAGGGACATGGTTCCCACATGCAGCCGACAGCGAGCAGTGCCCCATGGCAGGGCCTGGGCGCACACATGCTCCCTGGTGCCTGGATGACTTACTGGGTATCCTTGAAAGCAGGCGGAGGTGGCAGCGCGGGGCCGGAGCTCAGCGGCAGAGCCACGCGGGGCCAAGGCCAGAGCGGGGGGCAGCACAGGCATACGCAGCCACTGGAGCAGTGAGGCGGGCGGAGGCGAAGCAGAGGGTGCATTCCCACACATCCCAGGGAGGCTGTGGCTGAGAGGATGAGGAGGAGCCCGGACTGGGGTTCCCACATGTGGCAGCAGCTCTCCCTGCCCCGCTCCAGACCGTGTCCAGCTGCAGCTGCGGCCATGCCCAGCTGATCCGCAAGTCTCTCTCACAGCCTCTTGGATGCACTAAGCAGCCCCTGCTCCCTCCCTGACCGTTTGCCCACCCCCTGCAAGGCAGCGAGCGGCAGAGGCTGCAAAGCGCCATGCAGGTGTCTCCTGCCGAGACACATCCCATCACCTTTGATTAGTTTCCACTCTGGCTGATATTTTTTCCACATTTGATCTGTCGACTTGCATTGTGCTTCTTTCATTATGCATTATGCGAAAGTGTTTATTTTAGTCAAGTGTTTGGTATTATTTCATTGTTGCTTTTATATTGTTTTTATTTTGGATTTTAAACCACATTTCCAGACCCATTTCATTGTCACTTCCTGCAACTTCATTGGTGTCAAAGGTCACGTGACATCACTTCCTGATGTGATACCATTTCCTGAGAGGTCTTTGAATATGGCTCGCAGGTCCACTGGGTGATAAAAAGTTCATGATCCGGCCCCACATTCAAAAAGGTTGGACACACCTGGTCTAGGCTGTCTTCAGAGGGGGGTCAGCGGCAGCACTGGGAGGGGGCCACAGGGGTACAACGAATTTTGGGGTGTCTGCAGCCCCCCATAGCCCCCTCCCAACGTTGCCACCACCTGCCCTGAGCGCAGCCTGGCCCAGCCCCCATGTAGCCCAGCCCAACCCTCTCCATGTCCTCCCGGGGTGTGCGCAGTGGTGGGAGTCCTCCCGCACTCCCCGGCTGGGCAGCACCTGCCCCAGCCCCTGGCCCTGCCCCCACCCCTGCCCCAGACCCACTCCCTCCCTCACCACTGGGGCCTCAATCTGCCCCCACTCCACACCCCTTTCCTTCCCCCTCCCCTTCCACCACAACAGATTCACCAGCTGGACACTGCTTTTCAAGCTACCGGGCTGTGTATAGGAAATCAGATCGGTATTGGCTAATATGCCTCTCTAAAAATTGGGTATCAACCCCAAAAATCTCTATCAGTGCACCCCTAATTTTGTCAGGGCTTTGTGATAACTGGGAAAGGAGAATAGGTGGGGAAGTATCAGAACTCCAGTGCACAGCAGGCCACTAATTTCCAGAGGAAGAAGACAGGTTGTGTTTTCAGTGGAAAATGCTATTGAGATATAGCACATTATTGACATTTTACTTATTATTACAAGTGTTTCAAAAACAGGAATTAAATATCTCAAAACTTATTTGAAGCAGGTGAAAACTGGACAGATAGGAATTTGATTAATACTGCATAGCAAGTCACGGCCCAATCCAGGAATAGAAATTGCTCTGATCTTTACATTGCATATATCTGACTTGCTCCCTTGTACTGCCCTGGGCAAATGAGAGCCATGACTGTGCTTTCTTTTCATCTTCATGCTTTTATGGGAGAATTATGAAGATGTTCTAGAAAGAGACATTTGTTTGCTAAGCTACCTTCCTTGTAGATCTCCTTTGCCACCACAGTCAGGCCATACATCTTCACAGCAGAGTAAACATCTCCAGCATCCAAAGAGGCAGCATCTGCTTTATTTACCTTTAAAAAAAATCTATTATAGAATGGGCTCATGGGAACAGCCAGAACAGTCTGAATACTAGCGAGCCCTGCTGGATAGGGGTCAGCCATCACAGTTTTTTCCTAACGTGCTCCTGGTTTTTGGTTGTCCCTCTGCTACAGGGCATGTTAGAACATCAGCAATGCATAGAGAAGTTTGAACTGCCAGTATGTCATGTGTCAATATCTTAGGCACAAAACATAAGCATCCTTCCTAACAAGCCAAATTTTGCAAGGTGACTTCTCCTCCCATTCTTCTTTTAAACCCTCTCTACCCAGGGTGAAATCCTGGCTCCAATGAAGTTAAAGATAAAACTCTTAATGACTTCAGTGGGACCAAGATTTAAATGCAGGACTTTTTTTCTTCTATATACACAAAGAATGACTGGGGATTCTCCCCACTGTGCCCCTCAGAAAACCTTTAGCAGAAACATCCAAGCTAGAATCCCTCTTTACCAACACTTTCTATAGAGCCATATTTGGTAGGAGCTGAAATCCATTAACAAGGAGGTCAGGAATGACTGAAGAGATGAGAGTAAGTTTTTATGACCTTCCAAGAGGTTTTTTTATTCCTCCTAGGTCAGAGATGTGATCTACTGAAGGAAAGCAGGGCTGAAAGAGCACAAACAGCATTGTTCTCTCCCAGTCTGTTCTGAATACAATAGTATTACATGGAAGGCCAGGACGAGGTCATTTTTCTCTTCATGGGAATATGCGTTTAGCAGCACATGGCAGTATGAAAGCATCCCAGTAATGCTTAAATCTCTAATTACATCACTGCCTTATCTCAAGGAAATTATGACCATTTATAATTATAAATTATTTTATTACTTGGAGAAGGGCCAGATGTCTTGTTCAGGAAAGACTAGCTAGAAGTTAAAAGGGAGAAGGAAATGGAGCATTCAAGATAGTAGCACAAGGACTGAAATTCACAAGCCATGGGAATAGCTGGGGATTCAGATGTCACTCTGAAGCAGCCCTCCATCTTTGTCTGACAGGGTTGCAAAGGTGCAACAGATGCTCTATTTGGGCAAAATTTGGGTAAAATTATTTGGATTCTCCATGGCTGCCCATGTCTCAGGTACTGTACCATGACACAACAGGATGGATTTCACTCACTTTTGGATTCATTTTACCATTTTTTTTTCTTTTCCCTGCAGAGGAGCTAGGTTTCAAATTAACTCTGAAATTCTCCATAGACTCACCCTGATTTTGTCGATACAGTCATGAGTGTTGTGTGCCCGGATGCAAGAAACCCTTGCAAAGGAGTTGATTGTAGCAAGAGGCAGGACAGCCAAGAGAGCCTTAGACAGCTCAGCGCACTTCCTTTGTTCTAGATCAGACAACGTACACCATCGGAACTTCTTTCCTGCAGGACCAGAAGGTAAGAATGAGAACCAAACCTGAAAACCAGTAGGGAACAGGACGTTTTTACCAGTTTTTCTTTGTTTAATTAGAAAAGAAAAGAAGTGAGGAGTGTAGTAGAAGTAAACTCTATATTTGAATGGAACACCATTTCTTGCCAATTTCTCCATTTCTGTTTTTTTTTTCTTTTAAATGATGAGAGGCCCTCCCTAAACCTCCAAATCTAAAACTTTCTTGATCAGAAGGGCAACTCTGAAATATTTATTACAGTTTAGAAGCATTCTGAAATTCTCTTGCTTGCCACGAGGCACATATGGAGAGATGCTGGCATGTTCTAACCTCTGATGATTTCCTTATGTATGCAGTGTCAGGTAACACAATAAATCACACTATTTTTACAAACTCAGATACATAGGCACAGCTCACTGTCATATTTTTTTATTCTTGTACAATTATTCTAAATTGATTGTGATAATGGTCTATCTCTTGCAGCAGGCCTTTTAATGGGGATGATTCTTCTGGAAAGTATATAATCATTTAGTCAGCCTCAAGCTCTATCTACCAACACAACCTTCCTTATGTAGATGAGGCAATTAGCTCCAAAACTAGTTACAACTTTAGACCTCAATCTAGCAAATATATGGATTGATGCAGGCTTAACTTTTTATGTATGTGAGGAACACTGCTCAAGTCAAAGCAATACTTTCTATGCATAAAATTAGGTATATACTTCAGGTTGGCATCTAAGATGGCCCGTAGATGCTAGCAATTTTTCACTCTTGGTTTAGGTTCTATAATTAGTCTGCCATGTATTTAACTACAGATTTTTGTGTATGCTTCACATAAAAGACTTTCATCTGGGATATAGTCACACATGGTGAAAAAGATGCTCTGTGTTTAAAGGTCAAGAAAAAAATTACATTATAAGCAAAACAGAGGGTAATCATGCAACTGAGAGAGGATTGTTTACATGTTAAGTACCATAGTAAACACCAAAGCAGGCCAAAGAGAATAGGAAACGTGAATGTGCAATGCCAGCATTGTAGCCTCCAGACTTTTAAGTACCCAGCTGTGCAACTTCAATGTTCTCTTGGTAGGAAAAGGGGGGTGGACTGCATGAGATTAGTCACACTTTATTTTTAAATGTTAAAGACTAGTCACTCACGCTGGCAATTTGATCAGGAGATGTTGCTCCACCTGCTTTGATCATAGAGCAGTTGGATTCAAGATCACCCACCCCGCTTTGAAGTTCTAGAGCTGAGGCACAAGCTGAACAGGTTCACTCTTTTAGCAGAAGAGGACAAACAGCTCCCTCCAACTACTCAGAGGAATCAACAGTGAAGAGCCAAGGAATAGATGCATGAAGCAGCTTCAAAAGTCACTATGGAATTCAGCGTCTGCCAGTGATCCAGGGGACAGAACACCCTCTAACAAGGATCAAAGCAGTCAGAGCAGTCACAGACCTAACTACAACCATTTTGTACCAAAGCAAATAGAACCAGCGCTATGCCCACAAACATTAATGCACCCATCATCGCTCCAGGAGCTGAGGGTCTTCCTCCTCCCTTGCCCCTGCACCAGCCTTACCTGAAGAGAGCAAAGTGAAGGTAGCCAAGACAAGTGCAGTGGCTGTCTTCATGATTGCAGCAGCACTGCAAAGATCCCTCTCTCTCCTCTGAAGCCTTGTTTCATAACTGGGATTCCAAAGCAATGACTGAAGCTGCTGGAAGAAAACACATGGGTTTAGGCACCAGTACAAAAAAAACAGGGGGGAAAAAGACAGCAGCGTAGATTGAAGGAGGATGGTGCGAGTATGCATGCAGCAGGGGGAGGGCAAAGGAAGGGCCAGGGGCCCTATTCTTAGGCACAGATGGAAAGCATTAGAGCTTTCTCTGCTCCACCGTGTGTAGGCCCCTGTTGGAGGCTAAATCATCTCTCCTGACCCTTTCACTTCAGGCAGCACATTGAAAGCATATTGCTTGTTGGTGCCTCTTTTCCCCTAAGCAGGTTTCCAGCACAGCCAGTTCAGGCTTTCTGGGCCCACGCACAGCGAGGAGCTTGGTCGTTCCCCTTCCCAGCTCAGGGAGACTCGCTCCGTGTGAAGGCCACGCTACACATTCACATTAAATCTGGAGAGAAACCAGCTGTAAAGCTGTGACACGTTTTCAAGCACAAGCTGCTCCACTGGACAGTCATTTTTATAGTGTGGCAACTGCTTCGCTTGCCCTGAATTGACTGCGGGATTCGCTAGTGAGCTGCATCACGTATCTAACACGTCGCAGCGGCCGGTGAGGCTGGTCCCCTGGGTGCCAGCACCTGAGGGGCACGGGCTGGAGGCCTGCCCTTACCCCTGTCGAGCTGCCCTTGTCCGCAGGGGCTGGGGTGGCTGCAGAAGAGAAGCCGCCTGCAGAAAAGGAGGAAGAGACACATCCGAGAGGGGAACTAGGGTGTCGTGCCTAGCGAGAGGTGTCATCCTGCGGGCATGTCAGCCCCCGGGCAGGGCAGAGCAGGATAGGCAGAGATGCACCCCACGGACCAGCTCCATCCACCAGACCAGCGCGCGGCGGCCTAATGCGGTCGACGCGACGGGACTCGCTGCCGCGCCTCAGTAGCGGCCCCGCCCCGCGCACTGCCGGGGAGGAGGCGGCAAAATGGCGGCGCCCATGAGGCGGGTGTGCGGGTTCGCGCTGCGGCGGAGCAGGTACCGGGAGGCGGGGTCGGGCCAAGTCCCTTGCTGGGCTCCGGGGGCCGTGGGGCGCTCCGGTCTTCGTCCTCCCTCCTGGCCGGGCGCTGGTGCCAGCCGGGACGAGGGAGGGCGCCTCGTTCCCTGCCGTCTCCTTCTCCCCGGGGTCAGCCTGGCGAGATCGGCCCTGCGCCCTTGGCCCTCCCCGAGCAGCGGGTCCCCGGGGACCTGTCCCCTGCG